AGAAGACGTGACCGGAAGAGTGAGAGCGCGACGGAGAAAACTGTAAAGGAGGAGCCAAAAAGATACGAGAAAGCTTTTCCGATGGGCATAGAAGTTATAATTTGTTTCGCTCTCACAAATGAATACACTGCTTTAGATTTACTATTGCAACCTCAAAGAACAGAAATTTAATATTATCTATAACCATTTGCATTATACGGGTATTGTATACCGTGTATCATATTGTTGTACAAATGTTAAAGTCGACTTTTCATGGAATTCACCACAGCTTATTCGAGCATATAGTTCTATTATGCGAAAAGCAATTCCTGAAAATATATAGTTTAAATCAAGTCGAGAATGATACATAATGCAATAATGCATTGTCTAATGGTACAGAACTTCCTCTAATGCGCATTGTGTCGGAAAATATGCGCAATATATATTGCACTCCAATTAAGTTAATTCATACCGACATGTAAACGCACGGAATTTCCGAGCATCAATTCCGGGCCAAATGTCGAGTGCGATCCTAAATCTCAACGCGTCAGCTAAATGTTATGTGACAAAGAGGACGCTCTATTTAACACTTTACGTCATCTCCAAAGCGTCATTCAGTCAGAAAAAAGCATAACCTGAGAAAAGATTACTTGAAAACTGCAGTAGTTAAAACTTATTGATTTAGCTTCCTTCACAGCCGTCTAGAAGATATCTTAATCCTACTATTATGAGTATTAAACAAAGAGAAAGAAATATTTCAGCTATCGCTATCTCAATAACCGGGTATTTTCATATTTTATTTAAGATGAATAAACAAATTGTTTCTATTAAAACTTATTGTATCTTTTAGAACGATTGTCCGAATACGAAAGATTTCTTTTTGATATTTCATCGTTCGTCGTATTTTAAATACGCTGTTATTTTGGAAATTAAATCTTTCATTTATTGGAGCTATATTACTTCCTTAATTCTGATGTGAAACATTTCCGTGGAAATAATTTTATTTTATTGTGCATATAAATTAAATTTTATAAATTTTATTGCAACATAAATATAAATTATTTAATTTCTATTTATTATTGCCATGAGTTTGCCTAGAAATAAAACCGAATACATCAGTTACAAGTTTCCGTTTTAGTATTTTTTTTCCACTACACGCAAGACCATTTCTTCTGTACGCGGCAGACTGGTGTAATGAATTTCAACGTATGTGACTACTGTGTGGCCGTAACTACAAACCTGCGTTTATGCCTCAAAGGGATTCCTGCCGAATTCTAAAATTACACTCACTCACATGTATTTAACCGTGTTTAATTACAATTGCTCCTCCCTAACTATTTAGTACTATTGACTTGAAATAAATGTGTAGACTGAGAAGCTAATTTCCTAGACCTTTTAAATTTTTGCAATTTCGTACAAGAGAGACATTGCCTTGGGAGCTTGCATAAAGTTAAAATTATGGAGGCTGCATATGTATGAAGCGGTGTGCATAATGACAGTAAGTTTAATGCGTATATGGGAGCTAAACTTGCTCGCAGTTCGAGCTTGGTATAGAGAATTTTGTAGAATTATAGATAATTAGTTTAGCAAGACAAATGTATGCTCAATGAGGTATTAAATCTTAGATTTAGCGAGCCACATTTCATGTGTGCTTCTCTGATTAATATAAAACCAATCTTTGATTAGTCAAAGCGCTTTGACAAAATATCAAAGCGCAAGGCTCATCGTCGAAAGTTTTTATAACATTTCACATTAAAATTGTGACATATTAGTTCTTGAAATTATAAATCTATTTTAAACTTTACTTAAAATAATGGAGTATAATTAAATTTACATTAAAGTTACATTATAATTATATGAGATTCTGTTTGTTAATTTCCTTGCATATTTTAAATTTCAAGAGTTAATGTTGAAAGTTAAGCAAATGATATAAGAATACTAAAATTTCTCGGTATCTGGTTCATAGGTGTGGCTAAAAATTAATAAATAATTATCTTTCTTTACTTACATATTTATATTTTTATTTATATTTTCTCAAGCAATTCAAATTTTTGGATGCTTTATAAGCAATAACTGAAGAAGTTAATATAACTGTCTACTAAATATATATATGTGTGTTCAAATATTATCTGAATAAAATTATTCGATCCTTGTACAAAAACAACATAAAATGTAGATATTAACCAAATTTAATTATTGTTTCATTTAAAACATGTAAGCAAGTGCTTCTCATGATATTAACGAAAATTGTATACTCTTCTTTCTAGTAATTGTATAATAGTACGCTTCGTATACGCGTTATATGTAATTATTTAGTCATAATCATTCTAATTGCATTTATTATATCTCTTCGTGATTTCTGTAGAGGCAGCACGTGAAAGAAGATAGTATTAGCTGAATGTTACATGCAGTTCCCGGTCGAGGCTGCCGCGTATTTATCTTGAAAGTCCTCTATACAGATGGAAGCACCTATTCCTTCAGGAATTCCTCTCACGTTTATGTTTGCAAAATTCTTTGTACTTATGCATAGCTTTGACGTTTAATATTAAATATTTAGCCTTTATTATACAAATTTATGATAAAATTGAACGCAATCTTTTACGAATAAATGAAATTTAGACACGTGTACGGTAGAATTACTGAAGATAGTTTATAATTTATACAGATATTTTAAAATTATTTTAAATAATTATAAGTTCTTTCATTTTGGAAAAAAATGCAATTATATATAAAGTTTATGTGTGTAGTCGTAGGTAATTAATAACAGATTTGAGACAGATAATATATTTAAAATTACGAAGACGCGCTGCTGGAGTTAATAACAGTAAAATTCCTATTCAAGAAATTTAAGCATCACTGCCATGGCAGTGATCCTTACCGTCAACGGTATGATTTTTACATTTTGTATTCTCGCGGAAGTAAACGAGATTTCGGCCGTAAGAAATAGAAGAGCCTCTCTACTTCAGTCAGACTGAAATAAATCAAAAAGATTGGGGAAGATATGAAAGTGGCCGAGAGTAACTTATAACGAGACTCACGTCGTCGCTGGTACCCCATAATTACTGGCGCCGATGAAAAAAACGGACGGCCGCCGTGCAGCCACCTTTTAAAAAGGTGTTAAAGTGTGCTTTGTGCTCGTGCGCTCACGCGGGGTAGGTGTTAATTTAAAACAAACCTAAGGATAGCGCCGATTCGAAATCCGGCCGCCGTGTGTTTTATTCGCCCTGAAATTCGACCGGCCGATCTTCCCTACAGTGGCGTATCGAAAAAGTTTTCGCTCTTGCCTCGATTTGGCAACTTTTTCGCAATCTCGCATAATAAATATTAAACATTTAGTTAAGTTATGCAATGCGGCTTATTTCTATCGCGGATATATTATGTGTAATAGTGAGTTATGTTTAGAGATTAATTTATTTTCGTGTAGTTTTGTGAATTTTATACCTAAGGAAATTTAAATTATAATGAAAATATTGTGATTTATTAATTATTTTATAAAAAATAACAAAAAATTATTATAATTTAAATATAGATATATTTTATATATAACAATGCATTTATTAAATATGAATTCTTTGCAAAATTTCGATCTCGGTAATTTCAGAACGCGCCACTGCGACGGCAGATTTTCGTATATAACATGTAATCAGCACAGCAGTTTCGAACCAATTTTTTTTTATGTTTACCTCCAGGCAGTGTGGCCCTTCACACCTTCCCATTTTTTTCTCATCACTCAAAGATGATTTTACGACTCGCGTCCACGAAGCGATGGGCGACGCCCTTAAGAAAATCTAAAACGAGCTGATCCAGATACATAAACTATATGCGGAGTATAACAGCAGTGAACTATTGTTCTCATTGCCATAAAGTTGTATTACGCACGATATATTTCAGTCGTTCATGTCATTAATATCCGTGATGCAACTCTATTTATTATCACATTGCAAGAGAACTTAACGGAGCGTACGGGCAATTTTTCATGTAACGCTATATCCGATAATAAAAGAGATAAGAAAGCCGACTTTCCAGGCAAGCCCCGAGCGCGTATCTAATTCATTACAGATTCGATCGATCTTCTTCGATCCGCAATGCACGCGGCCCAGGCGCTAACGAGACAGCTCCAGAGCCATTAAGATCCCGGCTTATCACGATCGGGATGCAGCACGCGAAAAGACCCGTTTTCCAAATTGAAAACGCGCCGATATCGCGACGGACAATCGGCGAGGAGTATCTGCTTGCCCTCTAATCGCCAGTTAGTCCCGAGCTCCAAACGCCGCCGCGATCTGCCGATTTATCGATCCTCGGAATTAGCATTCGAGGCGTGCATCTCGGCCGCGGATCTCTCGGGGCCACAGCTACGTAAATTTTAGGGCTGCGCTCGCAACTCGGGGATAGATCTCACCCGTGATCTATGCGTAAATCATCGACTCGCCCTCCCCTGCCCCCCGACAAGTAGATCACGCACAATACGTTCACCCGGTATATATGGCCAAAATATAATAAATCAAGAAATATTAATATCGCGATATAATGACGGCTTTTACGTCAAAGTTCGCGCTTCAATCGTCCCCGATTACTTCGGTGCAGCGTAAACCCCGCCGAGCGTAAAACGCAACAGAAACCCGCGTGCATATAGCGTCGCCCGGAGAGAAAGAAAGTTCTAATCCTGCGGCCCCCACGAAAACAGACGAGGCGCGTGGCCATATTTTACGGGCGGGGGCGTGAAACGGATAATTTTCGAAGGAAGCAATATCGGATCGTATATCAGGCCGCAGGAACGGCCGTTTGGCTTCAAATTATCGGAAACGAGGGCCAAAACTAATGGGCCCTCGTTAGACCATTTGGCTCCTGCGGGGCACGCCAATGCTGATTCACGCCAATCCGCTCGCTATTTTCGCGCCGCAGGCCGAAGCTAGTCGCTTCTCATATTATCAAACACATCCGATATCCGAGAAGCTCTTTGCCTTGAGGGAAGTGTAGAAGAGACATGGAGGGGAATACGTTTCAACATTTCTGTGGTCATCATCTTTTTTCAGTTTACTGAAAACTACATTCTCAGGCGCGTAAAGATTGAACGTAACTCATGATTGCATATTGCGAATCGAGCGCGGAAATCTACGCGTAGCGAATGAATCGTCAGTATTACCAGATTTGATTCTTGGTATATCTCCAGGGTGTGTTATCGCAGACCGTCCCGGCGATCGCTGCCTGAACCGGCATGGTGAGTATTCTGAAGTTCACATCCGTGTAATTCAAGGACGACAGCAAGAAGATCGGCATCCGATCCGACATGATCCAGAGTAAGCCACGCTTCACCTATGGGCGGTAAAAAGTAAGTGAGAGTAAATGAGGATAAAGGAGATTCATAGTAGGTAATTATCCCCCATTATGGAGCGCTGTGCACCTTAATATCTGCTGGGAATATCAGAGCCTCGTCGTGTCTAGCGACGATCGCTTGATTGATTGGCGCGTAAGGTAACACGGAATTCCAACAGCCAATTGCGTTCCGATCAATTAAGTTAAAGAATTGAAGTCCGTCCTCGTCCATTACGGATGCCGTGCAATGAGAAAGCGGCCCTCTCGACGACAACACCTACGTCACATAAAAATAAATCATAAAATTAAAATAACCGTATTTTATTTGTAATGACAAGTTAGATTCAGGAAAGGAAGACACAAATAAATGTACGAGATTATTCTAAAGGTGCTAAAAAACATAACGGAAAAAAGAAAATAGAAGAATTTTAAAAAATCGTAAACGTAAGGAATCTATCGAACAATGTTTCACAATTATGAATCCCAAAGCATCTGAAATAATTTTCTTCGTTTTTTTTTTCGATATATGAATAAGACAAGATGTAAAAGATTTATTGTAACAACTCTGCAAAGTTTAGACAGAATTCTACCTAAAAAAAAAGATATGATCTTTTCCAAATAGCCCGTTAAATAAAAATATTAAAAAGAAATACCTGAAACTCGTGATAACTATTTTGAGACAACTGTTGGTCTCTTAGAATCCTTGTGGACACCGCGAATTCTCGATAGCTGCTGAGGGGATGGAAGAAAAGCGTCCGATAGCCGTCTGCTAATATTGGCGACAGACTCATTCCAAAAATACCTTCAGTTCCCCATTGGAAATTCAAGCCTCCTATATTGTAATCACCCGCCAGAGGATCCGGCATGAAGTAGCTGTGCGTTACTCGCCAGGATGTATTTTGCTGCCACGAGTACACGATCAAACCGTAACCGAGTTCGTCGGACATATAAGCGAAAGCATCACCGCAACCGCCTTTTCCCAGATCAACCGCGATGTTGGCGATAAAAGTGTTCTACGTAATAAAACAAAAATTGCGAAGTTCGTAGAGAGTTCAAATCAACTAAGAATTTAAAAAAATCATGCAATGTGCGAGTCAAATGCAAAAAGAATTATATACTTGATTGATGTCCTCCGGTCTGAGCCTGTATTGCCTCAGTAGCTTATCCGTAGTCAAGTCGAACACATTCAAGGTGTAAGGGCAGACTTGTACAGTCGTTTCGTCGATTCCTATTGTTCCAGTATCCAACACCCACAATCTATCGCACGCATCCACGTGAATCCTGGAAAAAAATATTTTACTTTATAAATGTTATTAACATTAAATAGAAAACAGAAGGAAATATTTTTACTACAATAACTCATTAAGATTGATTAAACTTTCTATTTGTCACCTGTAAACAGTGGTCAAGCCGCTACCACAAAGACCAGCTTTATTCTGGGCCCAATTCGGATAAGGTATAAGCTTCGGTGAAGTACCTTGATTAGCGTCCAACGGTATATAATTCAACGTAGCCGGTATTCCTAATACAAAACGTTACTCAATCTTATCTATACTTTTTATAATTATTTTTGGAATCAATCATAATTAGTATTCAAAGTATTTAAAAAAAGGCAAAACAAACGTTACGACACAGAACATCGATTCGCAACTAAATGGTGTAAAAAAAATGCAAGAGAAACATAAGGAATGCGCGAAAGGAAGGAATTGCGGAGAGTCCGCGAGGGTCTCCGAAGGAAGTAAAGGGGAGACGGACGGAAGGGTAGAACATTAAAGATCTTACACAGTGTGCCGCCGTCATTGTCCGGCCTTTGTGCGACACAAAAAACGGTGGCGCGCGCCAACGTATATAATAAACATAGAGCATGCAAAAAGATGGAGTGAATAAAGGGCAGCGAGGACTTGAATAAACCCGTTCGTCGCCGTGTTTCCCTTCCCCCCGGGGAGCCAGGGAGAAGGGGGGAGAGAGTGTCAGAGGGACCGTGAAGGTGGAGGCGGAGGTCGACAAAGACAGAAACGCTTCCATTGAGCGCGCACACTCGCGGTTTTCGGCGCTTTTTGTCGCGGGCCGGAAGTCGCTCAGACGAGAATCGAGGCGTGTACCTCCTATGGCGATCTTTCGCGTATTATGCCGGCGTCTGCTTCCGGTTCATGACTTTGAAGCGTCGCGCCTCGTTTTTTTGGCAAGGAGAGCCCATTTGTCTGTCGCGTCGTAAGATCGTTAATCGAGACAATAGCGAAGCCACAATTGATGACTATAATAATTCGGACATTCACCATCGCGCCATCGAGGTATCGTGACAAACAGCTTATTCCTCCAGATTTCGATGCCGACCGGCAGAGAGTTCTCCGGCACGTATTCGCCACTCGCTATCGCTAATTGTCGGCTGCGCTCGTCGGGATAAGCGAAGTCCATTTTCTTCCAAGTGAATCTCTCCAAAAGCGGGGCACGTCCATACTGCATGCCCCATATTTGAATCCCATCGACACTTCCGATCCATAGTAACAGAAAGATCGAAACGAGGATGCAATTCCAGATGCAATAATTTCTCATTTCTGCTATTCAATCTCTCCTTTTCTGTATGCAAAAATATATATTTGTTTGTTTGCTATCTTAAAAATATCATTATGCAGTAATTCTTGTTGGCAAATAATATATACAATATATATAATATATATATATATATATATATATATATATATAAATCTATTGATTTAGATTTTAGATTATGCCTAGCTTTCTATTATATGTATATAGTAATAATAAATAACTTATGAAAACTCTTTCAGCAAAAAGAATATTAATTGCCTGTGCACATATAATATATGCAATATTTTCATATGCGCATATGCACTTATCGCATTTTTTACAAAGACATGAACCTGTATTAGCACTTACTTTTTATATTACTATATTAATTAGTTACGCGCGTATGTGTTTGTATGCTCACATGCATACACTTCTTGTGCAATAGCCTTTGCAAACGAAATGTGATACAGTAATTAGGTAATTACTTCATCCCGTTGAAATAAAAATCCGAAGGATTATCGGTTGTGTCATCAAAAAAACATTCAGTGAAGGGGATAGAGTATTGCGACATATATATTTTTTACTAGCATCCTTATCATTTCTCTAACCGGTTTTGATATGTATCGTAGAAATAGATGTGGCATATTTATCTCTCATAATTTAAAATATAACATATTTAAATATGTCATTAGACTCATAAAAATGTCAACAAATTAATAAACAGCGATACGAGTCAGGCGCGGTACGTGGTGCACAAGCAAAACAATTAATAGTTACTGCAGAGGTAACGAATTACAATGTATATAATAATATACATATACATATATTCCAACTGTTGTTCTGTATATTCTATAACTATTAACTTCTTTACTTGCGCACCACGTACCGCGCCTGACTCGTATCGCCGTTTATTAATTTGTTTATAAGATATATTATCATAATATGGAAATTAACTTATTATCATATAATGATTTCCATTATATTATCATATAATGGAAATTAACTTTCTAATACAATATCATGCTACCTGATATTCACCACGTTTATCCAACGATCACATGCGTCATCAGCCCGGACCCTTCTATCGCTCCTGATCGCAAGAATAGCGTAGATCAATGTCGGCCAATCAAATTTTGGACTAAAAGAAACGGAGGACAGAGTTTCCAGTCCAGAGTACTCCAGCCAATATAGAAAGCCGCTGTCGCTCTTTCAGTCCTAAACTGCGCGTTCCTGTATAAAACGTCCGCCATATATATGGTCGAGCACCCAGCCTTATATATGTAAAACCATGCCCCATACCACGTGGAAAACTATGCCCCGCGCACGGAAAGAAATGCATCTTGGCATCGGTGCGTGCATGCACATGCACCTACTTTCCAAGCCGTCCAACTAGTACAGATATATCGTATACACCTGCACTTATGCGTTTCGACGCGTCGATTTAGTTGACTGCGGGGTAAGGATTTCACGCATGCCTTAATGCCTCGATATCGGATCCATCAGCGTACTCAAACAATTACAAAATTTGTTATTGAATTTTAGAAAAGTCGTATGTGAAATGTCACATTTTTATCAAATTATATCTGAGTCACTTTGCCGGCAAATTTGATTATTGGATTATATTACTCATAAATAAAATGATTGTCTTACATTATTTAATATAAGTTATAAAATTTCGTTCCTTTTTGTATTTCTATAATTATCACTTTGTTAGTTTTTGCGTCTAATAGTCGCCATTGTAGAGAGAAAGCAATAATTTCCTATGCTATTAGTAAGGAATAATATATTTATTCCTTAAAAAGATCTATTCAAGATGCTTTCGTAAAACTGTAATTAGCACATAACATCACAGCATACATAAGTAGCAATAACAAGCTAACTCGCATTGCAAGCTACGGAATAGTGCTACGAATGATTAAATTTACTATAATTAAATGTAGTCTGGACGGATTAGTTCTTCGTAATGACAACGAGGTGCAAACGAGATTTCTACAAATAATATAAGAGACAGTCATAATGACTATCGATGCGCGTTTATGATCGATGCGATATGTATTGCGTTATTTCGGCATTAGCCACACAAACGATACGATTAAATTGAATCTGATAGCGATTTAATTAAATTCATAAATCTCCGGCGCGCCCATCGCCGAGAACGTCGCGGGCGCGCGACGAACGTGGAAACGCGGGCGGGCGTTGCGAACGTTGCGTTCGGGAGGCAGGAAAGTCATTCGTTAGCCGTAACGAGATGACGACAAAAAGCCGCCGTCTGTCTCACGGATGATCGGCTCCCGAGAATAAATTCCCGAGGGCACTCCGTTATCTTCCCGCGCGAACTGACGGCTGAAATTGCGTTCAGCCCTCTCCTCCCTGTCCGCCCCCTCTCGCCTCTCCTCTTACCTATCCCTTTCGCCCACCTCGCCGCGTTTCATTAATCAGCACGCCCTTCCTGAAGGGCGCAATCAGAATTCGCGAAAATGAATAATTGCCGGCGGGTGAAAAATATTATTCCGGCTTAATTATCGATGACGCGCGACATTAACGGTACACCGAATTGCAATGTACGGCCGAATTAATGCACTGTGTTATGGCGGAATATGCGAGTCGCTGCGAGTAATTTAGCATGAACTCAACGTTGAGTTTTTACTCCCACAGCTCCCGCAGTTCGATTTATACCGTAAATCACTTGAGCCAGGAAGTATTCATTTGCTTTCTTCTACGCAATACCGAACTTATTACAGCGATTATAAGTTGCCGATAATTCGAGAATGAGATACGCCGACATATAATCTAGTTAATCTAGTACAGCCAATAGCACTTTAATTTCCAATTTTCGTAGTAATTGAAAACCCAAATGACTTTTCCGGTTTACCGTCATCAGAAACGTAAATAATCTGCGCAGTGAATAAAAATTATATCATATCGGTTTTGCGCTCAAAAATACCAATACGCGGCTTTACATTCATTAACGTCAAAAATATTAAAATTGCGTGACAGAGTGACACGACGTATATATGATAATAGTCACGCTCAATTTGTGTCAATTTTAATCTTATCTGCATTCACCTTGTCATCAAAACTGTCCCTCAAATAGAATGGTTATTCGAAATTGACAGAGAGAAAGAGAGAGTGAGTATATGGACAATAATTTGCCTGGATTTAATATCTTTCTATAAACTTCGATCCATGAATTTTGCATAATTTAATTGATTAGCGGTCATGCAACGGTACATAAATAAAAGTTCACGATGTGGGTCGGTGCATGGCACGTTCTTATCAATCATCGTTAACTCCATTGGTCTTTCGTAGATAATCTACTTGTAACTTTCGTCACAGCCGCAAAGTTAATACGGACCGACTTCGCCAAGTCACTTTCTTGCGATCGTAGATCGTCCCATCAAGGCTGCCTAGATTGCTTCCCGGATCGCCCGCGGACTTTCTAGTTGACATGATAATTTAAAAGCGGCCACACGCGCTCGGATCTCCGCGTTTCATCGCCCATTATTCTCTCATCAGACGTATTTTGCATTTTGCATGTTATTAAAATTTCGAGACTTTTGGGATTCTCGTTCGGTCGCTTTGCGTAACAGTTGCGCATAAAAAACGATGGTGAAAGGTCGACGTAATATTCGCGCTGCACCGAGGGGTTTAAATGTAAACGAGCTACATCGGAAAAATGTTATTACAAAAGCTCTTTTGAAGAGGGCACATTATGATACGCTAAAATTGAAAAGTGGTGTGCCTGGTAATATTGCGGAAAAACGTTGTGAATATTCCTCGGTGTTATATGCACAATATCGCAGTAATGTATCCGCTAATTTCACCGCGCGGCTAATTGCACGGTTTACGTCATAATTATTGGGGAATGCACGAGTACATAGCACGGCAACACTGACGTATTGTACGTGTAATTATTACGTACACCGTATCAATGTAGTGTAGCCTTCTTTTAAAATGTAATTGTGATCGTCGCTGACGCTTAGCAGGATTTTATGTTTAATTATTTTACCTACCGCGGCGCGTAATTAAATTTTTCTTCCTTTTCTTTGGATAACGTCAATGGCAAATCATGATAAAATTGGTAATATATGATTACTATATAATATATGATACTATATATTGGTAATATATAGTATACATGATAATATGGATAATATATGCCTCATATATTAAATTTATAGCATTAATTAAATAAATAATTTTATTTTTATAAAGTAAATAAAAGTTTAACATAATCTTCGTAAATATTATTTCACATTCCCGTTTAAAAATGTTTGTTGACCTATTGCGACACACAAAACACGAACGAGACACTTTATATGCAGTACTCGTTAATTTTATTTGCGCCACGCGCTCGAAAATAAATCTCTGCCCCCGAGCTCGGAATTTTACATACGAGTCATCGACGTATTTGGCGAGCGGTACCTCTGAAGGTCCCAGACAAATTGCGATCATTAGTCTCCGAGATCTGATTATAATGAAATAATTGGTGCACACGGTCTTCCTATGAGGTTTGTATGGGTCGCAGCTGCAAATTGAAGGAGAATAACGGTGAGGGCCGCAAATAAAATTATAATAACACGAACGATGCGAGGAAAGTTCGTCATTTGCGGATCCAATTGTGCAACGAGAAATTAGCGGTTCGGCTCCAGACGATCGACCTCGTTTTCATTAAGTGGACAATTGTGGATATGCAAGTAAGACAAAGTAGTTATTTCGACTCGTAATAAATGTCTTTATAAAGAAATGTTGGTGAAACGCCGGCATGGATGATATACATAAATTATTTTTTAAATGTATATTATGGATGATATATATAAATACAAATTATTTTTTAATGTATGTTGAATCCAGGAAACACAATGCAACTTTATTCCTGCGCTACTAAAATTTGAAGATGTTATTTGACTACATATGAGCCGTATTTCTCAGGAAGATGAATTAATGGCAACGCCTGAACTTTCAGCAACCACCTTGACATCAGACAAAACGGGTTGCCAACAAGTCCGTATCAAGCTGGTTTA